AATAGTAATTTTTAAAACCATTAACAATCTAACAGTATAAGTAATGGAAAAGGAAAATGTGTATTCCTCCAGTGTAATTTTTTTTTTTTTGGTACAGGGAATCAAACTCAGGATCTTATGCTTGCCAGGCAGTCGCTTGTGCTGCTGAGCTATATCCCCAGCCCTCTCCAGTGTAATTTTATATAGTGGTAGAGAGTGTGACGTGAGGGTGTAGCTCAGTGGAAGAATACTGATTTCAAATGGACAAAGTCCTTGGTTTGATCCTCAGCACCAAAAAAAAAAAGACAATAATAAATAAAGTCAGACTCCAAATATATACATATAATACTTATAAAGTATTTTAAAACATACAACCCAAACAGTACATGTTTCTTTGCAAGTAGGTACAAATATTTGTGGAAGAATTTAAAAAGAAAGAAATGTACAAATCCTTTAACAGTTACTTCTGAGGAGTCCAGAGCACAGTATGGTAAACTAGCTTTTCCTGCAATGTTTTATTTCTTTATACATTACAAATTTGTAATGTATATCTTTATTACTTAAAAACTAGGAAAAACGTGACAGTATTAACAGTTGTTAATTGGAGTTTTATAATGGGGATCTTTATTATATACTTTACTGAATTTTCTGATAGTCTTAAATAATATAATGCTAAGAAAAAAGTTTTAATGTTATTATGGTTACTTTATTGATAAGAGATTTATGAGGTGTGATCAGACTATAAGGTGAATGTTTACATTTAAGATATTTATTACAGTAAAAGACATATTTCCATTAATACCCCTTGCTCTGAATACACTTACACCGTCATGCTTGCTGCTTTCTGAAGCACTTGTAGAAAGTCCTCTTTTATGAGTGTGTTTCCTAGGTATGATAAACAGTGTGGTGAATGCTGTTGCCAGTTGCTAGCCAACAGAGGTAAGCTCATAAAAAACATTGTAGTTCACTGGATCTGGCATCGTGCAACTTCTGGTTCTTTTCAAAAGTTAAAACGACCATGAAAGGTAAACATTTTGAATCAGTTCAGGACATCAAGGCAGCCAGCCACAACAGAGCAGCTAAAGACAGTCATGAAAGAGAACTTCCAGAATTGTTTCAAACAGTAGCAAGAACAATAAACTAAGAGTGTTTCAGGCTTCGCATGGGGGTAGGAGCATTTTGAAGGGGATTAATGGCAATAAGTTTTTTACTACAATAAATTAAAAAAAAAATTTATCATACCTCAAATTTGATCACACCTCAAATGTATGAATAAAGAACTGTCTTTGTTAAATTTTAACAATTATTGGCAGTGAAGTATATCATCTTTTACCCAATTACTTAGCACCTAAAAATGTGTGGAAAGAGATTGGTGCAATATAGTCTTAAATGTGTCTGTCAACATTGTTTAGTGGGGGAAAATCCTTTCTTGGAAGCAATTTTTTGGGAGCAGGACTGAACCCAGCACCTCTCATATGCTAGGTAGGTAAGCTCTTTACCACTGAGCTACATACACAGGCCTTTTTATTTTTTATTTTATAACATGATCTCACTAAGTTGTCCAGGCTAGGCTTGAACCTGCAGTCATATTGCTGTATCCTCTTGTCCCTGGGATTAGGGCATGTGCCCCCGTGCCTGACCTCACAGTTTTTAAAACTTTCAAGAGCCATAAAATGATTTATCTTATTTTACTTGTTTGTTCTACTTTTTTGAAATCTCTCCTATGTACTATCCCACAGTATGAAACAGTTATAGATACTAAATCATTATTTCAAATAGTTAAAAATTATAAGGGTCTAAGAGTTTAGCATTACATTAATAAGTTTACTTGATATGCAACTATTAAACAGGTAAAGGTGAAGACCAAGTAGCATTGTGGAAAAATGTGTGGATGGTATATGTTAAGTTTAAAAAGAACCATAAAATTATCAGTGTGTTCTAATTATAAATTTTTTTAATTTAAGGGATCATCTTAAGTAATTTTAGAGTGATGGATTGTGTATGACTTTCTCTTCCTCACTAAACTGAAATTTTTTCAGTGTTACTATGTTTATCTTGAAATGCTGTATATATTTATTTATTTATATTGTGTGATTATTGGATTTTTCTTTTTAAAATATTACTTTGGATTTATGCTTCAAATCTCAATCTCTTTCCTAACTCTTCAAACCTCAGGCAGAAATAAAACGTCTTCAAGAAGCCAATAAGGCAGCTCGAAAGGAAAGACAACTGATTCTTAAGCAGCAAGAGGAGATAGAAAGGATCAGACAGACCACTATAAAACTGCAGGAGAAGTTGAAGTCTGCAGGGGAGAATAAACTGGTAAATTACATGGAGTTGTTAGTTTATTTTCTGTTCTATGTAGCTTGCTAATACCCCACCTCATTTTCTAATATGATGACTATGTGTATTCACACAGTGTGACACCATAATAAAGTAGGATAAAGTTCTTTTTCTTTGCTTTTTTTTGAGCAAGGGTCTCGCTGTGCAGTTCAGGCTGACCTTGAACTCAACATGTAGCCAAGGTTGGCTTCGAACTCACAGCAATCCTTCTGCCTCAGGCTCCCAAGTGCTGGGATTACAGGCGTATACCACCACGCCTGACAGAAGCTTAAAGTTCTGTAAATGTGTCTTTTTCTATACTGTACTAAGAGCTCCTCACACCTTTCCCCAGAATATTCCTATTTTGAAAGGGTACATGATTCTTTTATTAACTTGAAATGTTTTCTATTCATGAACTAAATTGGAACAGAAAGCTTTGATCTTTCTTAATAATCCAAATATATTCAGAATTAATAGTAGTGACTGTTTTCATCGATGTGGTGCTTATTTCTGCTGTCCAATTTTAATATTACAATGGAATAGAACTCGAGATATTTACACAAGAACAAAATTTCTAAGGTACTATTGCAACACTAAGTGTGTTGCAAAACTCAAAACTACATAGTAGTATAATTTTTAAAGTCACTGTTCTCTACTTTGAAACAATCTCAAACTTACAGGGAAATTTCAAACACAATACAGGTAATTCTATTTTCCTGAGTCATATTACAGTAAGTAGCCAAATTAACTTTGACATATTATTACCATGTAATCTATAGACTCTTTAAATGTTGCCATTCCTTATAACAAAAGTAACCACAGAATGACATATTGCATTTAGTTTTCATGTCTCTAATCTTCTTCAATCTGGAAAAATACTTTTTTCTCAGGACTTGAACACGTGAAAAGATTATATGACAGTTACTTTGGAAAATGTTCATTTCTTCTTTTTTTTCCTTCTTACGAGATAGGATCTTGCTATGTAGTTCAGGCTGGTCCTGAACTCACTGTGTATCCCAGGTTGGCCTTGAACTTGCAGCAACCCTCCTGCCTCAGTTTCCTGAGTGCAGGGATTACAGGCAAGCAACACCACATCCCGATAGAATATTCGTTCTTAAATAAGTTTTGTCTGATGTTTCTTTGTGATTAAATTGAGGTTGTGTATCTATGGCAGGAGTATAACAGAAGTGATGCTGTATGGTCTTACAGTCTATCAGATGGCACATGATATTGATTGATACCATTGATAATGTTGCCTTGATCATTTGATTAAGGTAGTACCTGCCATACTTCACTGTAAAGTTACTATCTTTTCCTTTATAATTATTATTTTGCATAGAGGTATTTTGAAACGATGTAAATGTTGTGTTAAATTTTAATTTATGCTTTTATCTACTCCCGAGTCCCTGTTGTACTCACATATAATTGTTATAATCATTATATGTTTGATGTTCATTTTGCCCCAAATTGGACCATTAAGAGCTTCTTCACAGCTAGGTGTAGTGGCACACCCTGTAATCCCTATATTTTGAGAGGCTGGGGCAGCAGGATCACAAGTTTGAGCCCAGACTGGGCAATTTGTTAATTTAGCAAGACCCACACTTAAAGGGGGATGGTCATAAAGTGACTGGGGATGTAGCTTGGCAAAATTCCTGACTTCAACTCAAGTACAGAAAAAAGAATGAAAGAAAAGCACTCCTTCATACAGATTTCTATATTTTGTGTAGCCCATCAGTCTTGAGAACTTTCTTGCTTTTTGATATGAGATGTTTCAGGATCATTTTAAACTTCTGCCCCAGCCTTAAAAATGAACTGATATTTTGAGGAAGCTTATTAAAAAACTGAAGTGTGGCATTAGGAATAATCATTGCTTTTGTGTTTTGCTCCTCCTAATCAACAAAATCTTGGGAATATATTAGTATATGTAGGTATAGATAACCAGACATATTTTATGTCTTTATTAATGTACGTGTAAAATCAAGTTCATACTTTCAGTTCCAATCCAGCACCATAATGAACACTCTAGTTTTTTCTGTTTTGGAACTCCATTGTCTGGCAGGTAACTGGTTAACATTTTCCTTAATATAGTTAATAGTTTATCATTCCTCTTATGTAACCTGTTTTTTTTTTTGTTGTTTTTTTTTAAGACAAGGTCTCACCATGTAGTTTAGGCTGGCCTTGAGCTCAGTATGTAGCCTAGGCTGACCTTAAACTCTCAGTGATCCTGTGTCAGCCTCCCAAGTCCTGGGATTACAGGCGTGCACCACCGCACCAGGCTTGTATCTCATCTTTCATAACCACTGATATCTCTTCCCCATGTGTATACCTGTCTTTCTCCTTTTGGGTTGTGACTCACCAAATTGGACTGCTCTTCATCCCCTTCTTTTTTCTCTATACCTTTCTCTTTGGATTCTGACACCTATGCTCTGTGGGAAGACCATCCTCACTGTGTTTGTGCTCATGGTTTTATGTGCTGGCCTACTTTCGTGTGAACTTCCTCATTGCTCTACATGGGCTCTCATTCTCCACACAGCCACTCTCCTGCATTAGATGGTATCTTCATCCTACTCAGATTCTGACACCCCATTCTTGGCTCCTTCTCCTTCTACCTTGCATGGACACCTGCCTTGTTCTGCTCCATCAGATGATTTTAGAACTGAATTGTTCAACAAAAGGAATGGGAAGAAGGGCTCTGCTTTGTCTGTTTTTTTCACAAAATAAAGTCCAGATTATCTGGATTAATCTTCCTGAAAATGTAAGAGTATATAACTTTCGTGTGAACGATACACTCGCAATTCAGTTTTCACTTTTTGTTATCAAAAGCAGTATATTGATTAAACCAGTAGTTCCTAATTGTTTCAATATGAACTTTCTTTAGTTTGTGAAAATACTGCTTTTATAATGAATATTTAATGGAAAAATCTATTCCCCAGTATGTTTTAAATGTTTTATGTCTTCTCTTCATTCTTTGTACCATACTGTATGTTTTTAAATAGTCAGAGTGGCTAATTTTACATTCCTTTTGAGTAGGTCAACTTTAAAAAATCAGGACATATAGATACTAGATTACTACTGGTAGAGAGTTTTTGGATTCCCCTGCCCCTTTCTTTTTTCTTTCTGGTTTTTTTGAGAACTGGTCTCACTATGTAGTTCCGGCTGACCTTGAACTCACTGTGTAGCCCAGGCTGGCCTGAAACTCACGGTGAGAGTCCTGCCTTCGTCCTCATGAGTGCTGGGGTTATATGCTTAGACCACCATGCCCAGCTTATTTTTAGATTTTTTTCTGGAGTTCTTTGAATTTCTTCCCCTCCCCTCCTCTCTCCTCCCCTTCCTTTCCCTACCCTTCCTTTCCTTTCTTCTTTTTTTCTTGGTATTACAAATAAGCTGTCCTGGTTACTTTTTCTCTTGTTGCTGAGACAAAATACCCAACGCCCAAAATTAAGGAAGAAAGGTTTATTTAGCTCACAGTCTGTGGATGTTTCAGTCCCTACTTGGCTGGCTCCAAGGCAGGGTGGGACATGGCAGAGGGCAACTGTTCATGGTGACGGAAGATAGCAAAAGCAACAACAGCAAAGGGAGAAGCAGCAGCAATCAGCCTCTTTCCCTCCCTTACGTTGCATGCAAACTACCAGCCCCAGGAGCAGGTGTAGCACTCACCCATAAGCATTGGATGATGGATCAATCAAAAATCTAGACGCCCACCCCATGACTGCATGAGGTTTTAGGGCTCATCAGACACAAACCATAACACAAGCCAGTCAACCAACTTCTGGTACATATGTGCATAACAAAAATTTAGCCATTTTTAGGCATCATGTTTTTGACCTTTAAGTAATATCTGAATGTCAACTATTGTTACAAACATTATTTTGAGTTTAGACTTAATTTTGAACTGCTAATATTTAAAATCTCTTCAAGATCCTTATAAAGTCCAATAAAATTTTACTTCTTTTTGTTTTCAGGAATCCCGTAGTGATGATGATGATGATGATGATGATGATACAAAGAATAAGAAGACAACTAGTCCTGGTCCAACTGATTTGGAAACCCGCAGTCCTTCGCCCATTTCAATCTCCAGCAGTGAAACTAGTAGCATCATGCAGAAACTGAAGAAAATGAGAAGCCACATGGATGAAAAGTAATTCATTTTTATAACTATCTCCTTTTTAGTTATATCAAAAGTACTGGCAACAGATAATATTTTCAATATACTTCATTAAATTTAAGACAAAATAATTTTATAAATCCAGTAGCAATATAGCAGAATTATGAGGTCAACCTGAAGTCAGTTAACTGTAGATTTTGGTTATATGTTTTTTTCATTTTAATACAGAAAAATTAAAAAACCAAAATAGTATTTGCAAGTGTACCTATGGCAGTATATTTTCCTTTCAAAAGGACCAATTTCAGGACCTACTGATAATATATTTAGTTGATGTCTCATCTTTCTGCTCTTTCACAGATTTCAGCCATTTTCAAACAGAAGAATAAAACTTGTGAATAGGTGTGAGTTGCTTAGCTGACTTCAGAAAGTCTGAAATCCTCCTGTGATGTTGAATGATTTGACACTAATACTCTTCTAAAATACTTCTAAGAGTTTTTTTTTTAAGAGTAGGAAAAATTTATTGTAAGGAAGAAAAGCTTCCATCTAAGAGAAAGCTTCTACTTAGATGTAGTTTCGTTGCACATAAGCTTTCACCATATGAAATGACACTGATGTGATAGTTTACTTTTTTGTTGTACATTTAAATAAATATGGTTATAAAGTAACTTCTTGTAGACCTAACCCTAACCCTAAGTATTTTATTTTTCAATAAACTTCATTTCTTAGTATCACAATGGAATAATAAGAAAATAAGAACACAACTATGAGTCTTTACCTCTGTAATCTCTATGCTATATCTAGGTCTCTTGAAATCCACCATTAGAAATTTTTATTGACTGTCATTTTAAATTAACAGTTTGAACCACAGAGTGGACTTAAGTTATCTTACATATTACCACACGTTACCAAATTTACAATTACCAAATTTAATAATGTTCTATATTTATGTGTAATACCAACCTATGATTTAATTAAAATGGTTAAACATTTATAGGTGAAATCCTTACTTCCTTCTGGTTTCCAAAGACAAACAAGGGCCAGGGATATAGCTCAGTGGCATAAGCGCGTGCCTGGCAAGCTCAAGGTCCTGAGTTCGATTCCTGGTACAAAAAAAAAGAAAGAAATCCTTACTTTCTGTAAGTCCAGTTGTACATTGGTACCTCATTGCAAAGAAAGCATTCATAAGAATAGTTCATTGATTATGGAAATAAGTTTTTAAAAATGGATAAATTTTTAAGATTAATATACAGGTAGGTTAAAACCAAATACTAACAAATACTTGAATATTCCTTTTCAACATTCCATTGGATAGGCTAAGTTAGGTTTCTTAAAATAGAAATAGATTGACATTTAGGCTAAAGATGCTTTCTTCCTTTTCCAGTAGCCGGCATGTTGCATTGCTCCAAAGATCTTTGAATTCAAAATTAGAGTAATCTCTCTTATAAATTTTTATTGCTGACATATTATCTGTCTGTGCATGTCTGAATGATAAATTTTAGGAGAAGAGAGTCTCAGGGGTGATTTCTTCATTGACCCCTTGATCCTGGGGTCAAAACTTCAGTAACTTTTTAAGGAACAAGTAATTTCTTACTGGCAATTATTCATTGCCAGTCTCTATTAATGATATTTTAATAATTCAACCATATCTATAGAACAAACTGTTAATCCTAATCTGTGAGGTCAGTTTCTGTGGTACTCATTTTAGCTTTGGTTAAAGCTTTAAAAATTCTAAATAACAAATCTAAAGTTGGATTTATTTTTTTCCAAGTTTTTTGAAATATTTTCATACAATTCAAAATACTAATCACCTAGAATTTTTCTATTATTATTTTGTCATCTCTCATCAACTATTATAGAAGACTTTTAAAAATTTGTGAAAATAGGCCATGAAGCATTGAGTGATTTCTTAATCTGTTGTTTGAAACAGTGGAGTTGTATTTGTTAGAGTGATGGCAGAAGGCATAGTGCAAAGAAGTGGTGGAATGATGGCTGAAATTTGAGAATGAGGATGAGGTAGAGTATTTTGAAAAATTGTGATGTGTTAAAAAAGAATATCATTGTTAAGCACTTCTTTTGTAAATCTCAGAAACACAGTAATGAGAAAACTAGCTTTTAAATACCACTTATATTACCAAAACTTTCTAATCAGATCTCTTTCAAAAAATGTTCAAATAGCAGCTCAAGAAATAAAGAATTGCTTACTTTTGTAGTCACTTAGTAGATACTTAGCAGCAAAATTATTTGAAATTTTGCTACTTTGTGAATAGGCAGTGCATTTTTTGTTCTGTAGATTTGCAAAGGCATTCAAACCTACTTTGTTTTTATAAAACATCTGTCAAAGAGTACCATCATCCAAACATTTTTTACTACCATTTGGAGGAACTTTTTTATTATATATCATTGTTTACTGTTGACCCTCTAAACTGTGATTCTTATGACATATTTTTCTGAATTGGTGACACTGTTAACTACGATGAAAGATTCATTCTTTAGTGTTTTACTGAGACAATAATGCCTTTCAAAATTTATATTTCTAATAATCAAGGATTTTTTTAAAGGAGGACTTTGATGTTCTATTAAAGATATCTCAGAATTATTTTCCTGACTTACTGAGTTGATGTTTTATAAATAATTTCTGTTTTTCACTATAGTAAAAAGCAAGAACAACTTTTAAATGTTTCATTATTTATAAGTGGATTGCCTAATAATTACAAGACAGATAGTGTCATAGAACAAAACAGACTCTTGGTGTTATTTTGCCGATTCCAACTCAGGAAAAGTATTTACTGAGCACATGGAAGACTGAAATACTGTTATCTGCAAGCACTGCATTACTTAAACACTGTGCTCTTCCATATTAATAATTACACACTCTTCCCTCAGCATTTATTTATTGAGTAATGTGAGAATATGCTAGGTTCTGAGGATTATGAAGATAACATATATCCTGCAGTCAAAGAGTTTAGCCTGTGGGGGGAAACAAAGCATGTTAAGATCATTTTTTAAAAGCATATATATTAATCTGTTGGTAAAGAAGTTCAGAAAGGCAAGGACATTTTCATGGGTGAGTGTTCAGAATTAAATTAGGAAGTGCTGAGACCTAGAATAACAAAAGTCATGTAATTATTTTTTGCTTTCACTATTCATTACAGCTCAAGATAGCATGAAAAAAAATGAACAAATAGGCACAAAAATCTTAAATATTCCTTTTATATATCCCAGTCGTCTTAGAAAACCATTCAAGGGACAAAATTAACTGGCTTTAAATAATTCAGCAAAAAGTCAAGTAAATAAATATTTTACAACATTTTTCTGTCTAAAGTTACGGTTTGTCTTATGAATTTTGAAATCTTTACCATTAACCTGCTGAGTGAAAAGATTAAGAATTTTCGGAGGACTTTCGATATTCCATTAAAGACATCTTAATTAGAATTATTTTAAATTATTAAATATTATTGTTTTAAATTGACAATTGTCTTGGCAAAGATTCTAGTCAAAGTGTAGTAGGTAAATAAGTCCTAATAGTATGACGTGTTTCTATTTTCTGGAGTTCCTAGGTCAGGAAAACTATACTATATTACTTTGCCTAAGTGTGTGCAAATTATTAAGCTACTTTAAACAATAAAATAGGTTTTGCTAAAGGAAAAAAACACTAAATGGCATTTTCTTTCAGGTCAGTACTATCATTATCCTTACTTTTTGAATATTATTAAAGATTTGAAAGAATCTACTTTAAAATTTAAAGTTCTGTGTTCCATTTTTACTTACAATAATATAGAATTGAAGAATTATAAATCCAGAAGAATTTATAAAACTATTTAAGGTATTAAATTTTTGTTTGTTTTGTTTGATATCTGTCAGAATTGAATAATTTTAGACCTTGAAGTTTCACTTAAAGTTTAGACCTAGGTGTGGTGGTACATGCCTGTAATCACAGCACTTTGGGAGGGTAACACAAGAGGATAGCAAGTTCCAGCCCAACCTGGGTAACTTGGCAACTTAGGGATGGGAAAGTAGCTCAGTGTGAAGGTCCTGGGTTCAATCCCCAGAACTACAAAATTAAATAAAATAAATAAACTAGTAAGTACATAGGTAAAGTTTAGATAATTTTGTTTCTTTATAGCATTACTTTATAATCAGTTGGAATACTATCCCAGTTACATTGGCCCAGTCGGAGAAAAGATCTCATGTCATATGGACTAGCAGTGTGTTGAAGTTTGAAGAAAAGTGGGAGTATTTGGAGAAAGAGTCATAAAATTTTAGAACTAGAAAGGCTTTTAGAGAAGTCACCTTTGTCTAATATGAATAAATTTGAGGCCCAGAGAGATTAAGTAACTTGATCCAGGTCATAACACATAGCAGAATGGCAGAGCTAGAACCAGAATTCTGCTCTCTGGAGTTCAGCCAGCTAAGATTAAAGTTAGCTTTATCTACTTTCAAATTCATAAATTTTTGAAAGCTACATTGATGACTTACAGTTATCTTTAATAGAAACTTACCTTCTAAATAGTACTTGTGGAAACTAGGAAAATGCTGAATGGCTCAGTACTGGAGTTGTTTATCAGTGCAGTGTAAATTTATGTTAAAGTATGACTTTAAAAGCAAGTTAAGAACCGGAGATATAGCTCAGCAGCAAAGCGCCTGCCTGGCAAGCATGAGGTCATGAGTTCAATTCCTGGTACCAAAAAAACCCAACCTCCCCAGCAAATTAATCACTCATTAATTCCCTAAATTCAAACATTATAAAAATATAATGATTTTAATACCAGATTAAATTATTTCTAATTCTAGCCCAGTATTCTGTTACCATCAAAATTCCTGCTGGGCAATGCCTTGACATCAGCTATAAACTTGACATCAACTATAAAGAGTATCAGTATCATTTTCTATTAATAAAGGCATTTTCTGTTATTAGACATTTATGTCTCTATCATTCACAAATTTTATTTATTACCTATGCTGCACCTTGATGGATTGCTAACTCAAGTATGAAGTACTGCTCCTTTATTTCAACTTTATTCAGCTTTTTAAAAATGAAAAGTTATTAGTTCCAGGATGTATTTATATTAAATAAGGAAATATGTTTCTGGGAAGAAATTGTAACTTTATGATTAAGTTAAATTTATACTGTTTCTTATTTTATTTTCATTTTCTATTAGCCATTTCTTCGCATTTCTAAACTAGAGCTTTTGAATTTGCTTAATCTTTATAAATGAAAAGTAAATATCATTTCTTGTTCTAATAGAGAAAGTTACTGTTCTCTATATTGAGCTGGGCAAGAAATTTAACTTGTATATTTTTATAGTTTATTTCACATGTTCCAATGTTATTTTACTTTTTGTACTAGGTCATGCCTGCATTTAGCAGTTATATACTCAAGAGGGTGGGTAATACTTGAATGTTATGAGTAGATTTTTTTGAACCTTTTGCCCTATACATTTGTTTTTGCATAATATTTTGATAATTGGCATCAAAATAAGTTTATTATACATTCATAAAGAATGGCAGGGAAAATTACAGTGTCTTACTAAAATTTACAAAAATATTTTTCTTTGAACTTCTGTGCAGAAAATCAAGGCAATCCAGGTGTGTGTGTGTGTGTGTGTGTGTGTGTGTGTAGATGAAGGGAAGATAAAGTATCATATGTGGGAAATTGGGCATTAAAACAGTCTGTTATCTAAAGGTATTTGTAGACAAGATTAAACATACTTTTTAAAGTCTGAGTAAACTGCTGGATCTATACTAGATTTTCTCACTTCTAGGCATACTGATACTACTCCTTGCCCTTCCAAGGCAATAAATGTTGCCTTGATGTATGAGTTGTGTGCATGTGAACAGGAGCATGCTCTGTCAAAGAGAATTAACCTTATTATTACTAAACTTACTTATCCTTTCATACACATATATAGTATCTTGCTACTGCAAAGGAAGAAAATTGGGCTTTTAAAAATGTATATCATGCTCATTTTGGCAGCACATATATTAAAAACTGTGTATAAATTTAACATATGGAATTTTCTTCTTACTTTTAACCTTACAATTGAGCTGTCCGTTGCATATTTTTAACTGACATTGTTTGTTGAGACCAGCTCACTTTATTCTTAATTGTGTATCCTGATACTTAATAAAATGGGTATTTATTTCAATAGTATTATTTAGGTGGACATTTGTTAGATTGGACAAGATAACTCCAATAGATATTGTAAACAGTTTTATATTTAGAAGTTAATGAGGTATTTTTCTTTAATTTGTTTTACTGAATTATATTATTTTGAAGAAAGGAAAATTGTACTTTTTTAAAATTTCAAACTTAAAGTACATGACAAGGTACAGATTTAAAAATCATTTGCTCAGTATTGCATATGTATGTAGAGTTGCTGATAAATGAGGTTCTTAGCTGTAATTGTACTCTTGTTTTAAAGCTCATTTGAAAACTTACTTGGCCCCACACTGTACTTCTCATTACCTTACTCACAGATAAGTAGATTTAACTAAAAATATAGATGAATGATTAAGCAGTATTTGAGAAGAAAAGCATGTTTATTCAGAAATTATTAATCTATAAAAATACATTTTTTATGCCATGCATAGTATAATGTGTACTTTGAGTAGTTTATAAATGTTGTTAGGAAGCATATTGAAAGTTCTTCACGCAGCTCTTACGCTTTCCCCTTCTCATTCTTCCTGCCTCTTGATCTCTTGGTTTTTATAATCTTCCTCCTTATTTTGTAGACACTGCTCTCCTGTTCACTACTTCTTCTCTGTCTTTACGTCTCATCACTGGGCCTCTCTCAGTGTCTGTTTTCCCAACCTTCATCCCAAATTCCAGCTGTATATCTACAACCAGTTGGTCAGGTAACTTTGCACCTTTTTCAGTGCACTCTTTGATAGAGCATGCTCTGTTCTTTATGTTTTGTTTGCTTTTTTTTTTTACTTTTTTAAAACAGTGTGGAGGCCTCTTGGCAAATATGTAGATTTTACTATTAATTTGATATGATGATTAGTCAAGAAGTGAAATGACAGTTCTTGTGCCTTTGATTGATTGTTGAATATGTGAATGTATTTTTATTGGTCAATTACTGCTATAGATCTAACACCAATAATATGAGCAGCCCATCTTTCATTTAGGCATGCCATCTACATTTGAAGAGTTTGTTTGTAGCCTCTGTTGTAATGAGATTAGTAATTTCTCTTAACTTTTTGGACCTAAGGTATGATTGGCTATTTCATTTCAGAGATTGGGTTAAATTGAGGAATTTTAGACATTTAATGCATCCTTTCCCTCAAATAAGGCATTTGACTGGTGCTGTGTTCACTATATGGAAAAATGATTTATCACTCAACATTGTATCTCTTAGGTAGTGGAAACCAAACTGACTAGAACTGAAGCAATGCCAGACAAAATTTGAAAAGGGATATAAACATGTTTTTGTTTGCTTGCTTGCTTTGGAGCTTTGGGGTTTGTTTTTTGCTGTTGGTTTTGGTCTTCGTTGTTTTGGGTTTTGTGTGTTTTCTGGTCTGATCTTTCAGAATAAATATTTTTATCTTTTGTTATGAAAAAGAACCATCTATAAAAATGAATATATATGTGTTAACATTTTCAGTCATGATTGTCCATATATCCTAAAGATTTTTTTAATTTACCACTATTTTTCCTTTGCTAATCTTATGAAACATTATAAGTAAAACATAAATTCTCTCATTTTATGAATAAGTCAACTCATCAAACTTTGTTATTTCATGCTTTTTTAGAGAGGAATAGTGTGAATGCTCTGCTTTTGCACAACTTAAGATGTTAAGAGATAGAGCTTTCAAAAGCATCTCTGCTACAGGTTTCTTCTCTAACTGGTCTTTATGGTGTGATCACAGGTTTCTGACAAAGCGAGAACAAAAATTAATGCAACGACGACAACATGCAGAAGAGCTCCTGGAATGGAAGCGACGTTTAGATGCAGAAGAAGCTGAAATTCGTCAAATGGAAAAACAAGCTTTGGCTGCCTGGGATAATGAATTAATGAAATCGAAAACTCCTAAGAAAGAATTGGAAGACCAAAAAACAGAACAGAAAGGTAATAAATACTAACTGTTCAGATTACAAACTAAGGCCTAACATATTTGAAAGACATACCATTTCTTTTTAAAATGTTAATGATTAAACTTGAAGAAGGCTATACAACTGTACATGGTGCAGAACTCAGAAAGATAAGAAAGTATGATGAATAACTCTTTGTCAGTATAAACTCGAAAACCTGGAAGAAGTGGGTAAATTCTTTTAGAAAAGACAACTTGCTGAAGTTTTGTCATTTGGAAAATGGGAACCTTCTTACTCTTTCTGCCATTAAATAAATTGTACCCCAGTAACTAAGATCTTTTTACAAAGATCTCCTCTGGCTTTAACAGTCTATTGACATACAAGGGAAAAAACCAGGCATGCAGTTTTTTGTTTTGCTGAATATAGAGCTCAGGTCCTCATGCATGGTAAGCAGAATCAACCACTGAGTTGCACTTCAACAAGTATGTCTATTTTAAATCAATATGATGACTAATATATAATCAGTAGTTGGATTTTAATGTAACAAATCATGAGAACTCTATTGATACAGTTTCAGGATCCACATTATAGTTGACATTTAAGAAACTGCCACTCGTCAAGTTTTGGTATCCATCAAAAAGAATATCCATAATTATCTATAAAGACTCTTAGAAAGCTCCCTTTCGTGGCTAGATATCTCTGTGAAGAGATTTTTCTGCATATGCTTCAACTAAAACATATTGCCACTGATTGAGTACAGAGCAGATACAAGCATTATTGTCTTTTGTTACGATAGACATTAACAGTATTTATTAAAAAAGTGGAAAACTATTCCTCTTGTCTCCCAAAATTTTCACGGAAAAATATATTTAAAATTTTTAAAAATGATGTCTACACTAACACGTGATAGACGTGTTAGTGCTTTTTTAAATAAATTATTATTTGAAACATTTTTTACTTTTAATTTCTAGTATGGTAAGTACTGATGCATATAACTGTAACTACATAAACTAAAACTCTTTGGGGTCCTCGCTAATTTTTTAAAATATGAAGGGGTCCTTAAAATATGAAGCAAAAGTTATGAGAACTGTTACTCAAGAGCATTAGTGGTGAACCTGTGGCATGTGTGCCACAGTGGGTTGTGTGTATCATTGAAAGTTTTAAAAAGTTCACTGTCACTGCTCTAGAGCATACCATATTGGACACTACATGCATGCTGTACATTTTACAAAGTTTTGACTTTTTTCACTTTTAGTATATAGGATATACAGTCGTGCATCACTTAACAGTTGAGGATAGGTTCTAAGAAATGTGTTTACACAATTTCTTCATTGTGTGGACATCATAGAGTATGTGTATATAAACATAGATACACAAACCTGGATAGTATAATTCAAATATTTGACATGGTTTCTTGATTATATCAAGGGTAAACACAAGCTATATGAAGCTGCTGTGGGCATAACGTAGCGTATTGTTTTATGGCAGTTTTTTAATAAGCAGAAAGAGTATATTCTAAAATAACAATAAAAAGTATGGTATAGTAAATGCACAAACCACTAATGACATTCTTGATGGTCTTTAACAAGTATTGTCTACAATACTTAATTGTATGTCCTGTACTTCTGTGTATGGTAACTAGCAGCACTGTAGGTTTGTCTCCATCAGCATTACTACAAACACATGAATAATGAGTTACACTATGACTTTACAACAGCTGTGACATCACTACGTAATCTGTGAGATTACTGTTATATATGTGATCTGTCTTTGACTGAAATATTACTATGCACTGCATGTCTATATTTTTAAAATAATGATAAAAATTGGCCAGTAATTATCCATATTTCTTTTAAAGCACCTAAAACTGCCAGTCTCCTGTTCACATATAACTGTCTTTGGAAGTCAAGAATGCAGTTAGCTACCACCTCAGAATCATAGATGGTTATTACTTTAAATAAAAAACATAAGTGTTGGCAAGGATATGGAGAAATTAAAATCTTTGTGCATAGTAGGTTACAGTTTCTCTATAGACAGTTAACTTTAAAATACAATTGTCATGAGTCCCAGCAGTTCCACTTCCAAATATATACTCAAAAGAGTTGAAACAGGGTCTCAAAGAGATACTTGTACAGCCATGTTTATAGCAGCATTATTATAGTAGTTAAAAGGTGAAAGCTACCCAAGTATGCATTGATATTCAGATATGGCAGACTCATATGATGGAATATTATTCAACCATAGAAAGGAAGGAGAAATTCTGACAATACTGCAACATGAATGAATCTTAAGGACATTATAATAAGTAAAATAAGCTAGTTAAGTACCTACCGTAGTCAGGTCTGTAGACAGACCATGTAAGGATGGTGGCCCAGGGCTGGGGATCTGGAGGGCAGAGAGTTGTTACACAATTTCAGAGTTTGGGATGAAGATAAAATTCTAGAGATGATAGTGGTGATGGCTGTACACAATATAAATGTATTTAATGCTACTGAACTACATGGTTTAAAATGATTATGGAGTAAGTCTTATGAGTATTTTACCATGACTTTAAAAAACTAATTTTAAAGCCAGGCATGGTGGCACATGCCTGTAATCCCAGCTAATGGGAGGCTGAGGCCAGAGGATCCACCAGTTCAAGGCCAGCCTGGGCTACAAAGTGAGTTCAAGGGCAGCCTGAACTTGTCTCAAAAAATAATAATAATAATTTTAAAAAGTCAAAGAATAGAGGGAAAGGTCTATAAAGGCACACACTCTAACCAGAGTTGGCCCCTACTTGTGTACCTTTGAGATATTGGAAGTTGGATAGGTGGTAGTGGTTGGGATGTATGTGAAGTAGTCACTTATATCCTTCCGTACTCCTTGAAGTTGTTATTTTTAATTTCCATTCTTCTACAGTTCTTTTTTTTTAAATTTTTGTTGTTTTGTTTTGTTTTGAGAAAGGGTCTCACTGTATAATTCAGGTGGTCCTTAAACACACTATGTAGCCCAGGCTGGCCTTGAACTCAGCAGCAATCCTCCTGCCTCAGCCTTCTGAGTACTGAGGTTACATGAATGCACCACCATGCCTGGCTGCTACTTTTAAAATTTTTAATCAGGGAAAAGGACAAAAAAAGTTTATCTATATAAACCTCTGATTGGAGAAGGTAGCAGTTGTACACTTGGGTAGCTTTCAACTTTTAACTACTATAATCTGATATAAACATGATTGTACAAATATATCTTTGAGACCCTGTTTCAAATCTTTTGAATATATCCCAGAAGTGGAACTGCTGAGACTCATGACAATTCTATTTTAGAGTTAACTGTTTAGGGAGAAACTGTAACCTAGTGTGTGCAAAGATTTTAATTTCTGCATATCCTTGCCAACACTTTCATTTTCCAATCAGGCAAAGGTGACTTTGGAAAGGTGACTTTGCAAAGGTGACTTTCATTTTCTCTTTTGTAGTTTTTATATGGTTTGAATTTTTAAAATGTGTGTGTGTTACTGTTGTCAAATAAAAATCAAATATCTATGTTGAGAGTTGTAAAGTAGAAATGCAAAGGAGTGCCTTCCCTTCTACCTGAAATTCAGATGTTTTCCAAACTATTTTCAGTTTTACCCATATACCACCTTGGCGTAGATGAGTTATTCTTGATGTGTAGAATTCATCCTTTCATTTGTTCATTCATTCAACTATTCAAATTATGCTACAATGTACAACATGTAGAAATTAATTTTTAGGGCTGAGGATGTAGCTCAGTAATAGAGCCCTTGCCTAACCTACTCAAGGCCCTGCGTTTGATCCCTAGCGCTGCCCCCAAAAGAAAGGTAGCTTTTAAATGAAATGTTTTTAAATGTCATGTCATCCTGTTTCTTAAAGTAAGATATCACTTGGGGTATAGATACTTATTATTTTAACTAAACTTATTTTATAGATATACAGAGTCCACCAAAAAATGTGTGCATACTTCAGGAAAAGAAAAACATGTATAAATATTTTGATACTACATTTATTGAGACATAATGAGGGTTAATATAAGTTACCTTTGGCCTCTATAATTACAAGAGGTTCTCAAAGTGGTGACCATTATTTCCAGACATTTATTAGTATGGCAAACTGCTGCTTGGGTAATGTTGGTCATTGAGATTGCTACATGTGCATTTTCAATTTCTTCTCTAAGGGCCGGCAGTATAGTGGGTTTTCTGCAATATATGACCTCCCTTAGGGTCCCCTATGAGAGTAACACCATCTGTTTAAAAAAAACTACTATTTTTTTTCCCTGAAGTGTGTATACATTTTTTTGGCAGACTCTGTATTTTCAGGTCCAGCAGGCTATTACAGACCTTAAAAATGTTTAAATGATAGTAGCAGTACTTATCCAGAGCATATTACAACCTAATCCTTTGGAGGTATTATAACTGTAGAGGGGAAAGAGTCAAAGCAATGTATATTTTTAAGGTTATGCAAGTGTCAGTCAAAACTTTTCTGTCTAGTGTCAAACATTGTTTCATTTTCCTAGAAAGAACAGAATCCACAATAGACTGGAAATTCTGGAGCGAGATGATGCTACAAATTCTAAAAGTGCCAATAAAATGCCTCGTATACCCCCATCAGTGCTTGCATCACTGGCTTCTTCATTTGTAGTGCTGTGTACATACCACTGTATAAATACACCATAGTTGAGTCAACTTACTGTCACTTTAGGTTTCTTCCAGTTTTTGACAGTTATATCAATCCTGCCAATAAGCATGCAGAAATTTTGCTTTACATAGGCAAAATTTCTGTAGGATGTATCCCTAGGAATTGGTTTGCTGAGTCATAGAATATGATGTGTTCTGATCTTTTTCAAATAATACAAAATTATTTTCCGAATTGTGCTGTGGTTTGGGGTTTTGCAAAGGAGAACAATATAACACAGGGGACATATTTTATAAGATTATTTATAATAATCACCCAAAGAATCATATACAAGAGAGTGCAGCAGATCTGTCCACACTCTAAAAGCCAAAAAGTCCAGCTGAGGGCCTGGATCCCACGGTAATGTCCTGCATGAGTCCAGCTGAAGACCCAGAGCCCATAACAGTGCCCCCCACGAGTCCAACTGGAGGCCAAGAGCCCATAACAATGTCTCATGCAGGCCTTTTTGTGAATCTGTGCTGGGAAAGCCCAAAGGTCAGTGGTGGAAGCTAGAAAGTCTGTGCCAGAATGAAGGATTCAGTGCTAGCAGGCTGAGGGATCTACACTGGAGCCGGTAAGTGACACTCAAAATAACCAAAGTTCCTCCCAAGAGTACCACAGTCATCCTCAGCTACAGAGAGGTCTCAAGCTCCTCCAATGATGAAGACAGCTCAGTTTCCATCTGGAAAGCCAATGCAACAAGCTTCTCCAGGAGACTGACAGTGCACTATCTTCTTCTCCGGAGCCAGGAAGTGCTCTCAAAGTGAGGACCAGAGTTCCCCCCAAAGAACCGAAGCTATTCTCCATGCCAACAAGGTCCCGAGCTCCTCAATGGATAAAAACAGCTGAGTTCATCAGGAAAGCCAGCATGACAAGCTCCTCCAAAAGAACCAACAGCTCCTTATAGCTTCTACCAGCTCCCAACAGCCTTCCTTCTTCTTCTGTTCTGCCTCTTGTAGTGCTGGCAGCAGTCCCCAGGTGGCCCTCCCACACCCAGCACCACGTTTACTCAGTTCAGCTGAATGTTACAAGTTGACCACCAGTTGTCAATCCACCGCAGACTGCTTTCCATTGTCAAAGGAATATATGAGTGTCATAAATTGCTCTGCATTCTCACGGTTAAGATTGTCAGTCACCGTCCTTGTTGATTATATGTGATAGATATCTTCCCTCATTGGTGTCAGCCAAAGTTTTTAGTTAAACTAACAGACACTATAGTAGATATGACAAAATCAAGAAATTATACCTAGATACAACTAGTGATTTTTTTTTTTTTGTCTTTTTGAGACAGGGTCTTGCTATGCAGTTCAGGCTGGCCTTGAGCTCACTTTGTAGCCCAGGCTGGCCTTGAACTCACAACGATCCTCTTGCCTCAGCCTCCTCTTGCCTCAGCCTCCCGAGTGCTGGGATTACAGGCATGCGCTACCACGCCTGGCTCAAACATCTAGGTTGTTTTTTTTGTTTGTTTTTTTTTGTGGTACCAGTGATTGAACTCATGACCTCACGCTTGCTAGGCAGGCACTGTGCCACTGAGCTATATCCCCAGCCCCACAACTAGTGATTTTAAGACAAATACAAATGTGAAGTATAAGAATTTAATTTCTCCACTGAAAATGTTGTGTTTTTTGTATTTTTTTCTTGTTTTCACCCTTTCTTTCCAGAAATAGTAAGTGAAGAGGAATCTCCATTACCTTCCTACTCTCGTCTGAACAGTGAAAGCTCAATTCCAGAAGAATTAGGCAGCCCTGCTGGTGTATATGTAACACCTGAGTCTGTAGTACAGGAGCAGCAAGGAAGTCCAGATCACAGTATACTTACAGAAGAAATGGTTTATTCACAGGAACTAGAATCTTCTACCTCTCCTAGTAAACATGTAAGTTAATGTTTACATCTCAAAGTTTCCTTAGTAAAAACTTGTCAAAGGTGTATTATTTTACCAGTTATATTATTCCTAGTAATGACAGCTACCACCCATATTTGGAACATATAGTATGTAACATTTGAATAGAAATAAAGTTTTTTTAACTCATAGATTTATACATACATGAAATACAGTTTTAGTGGCAGTTACAAAATTATGTACTTTGAAGTCTATTAATATTGAATATATATGAACTTTTAAAGTCTTTAATAAAGATAATTGGTAGGAACAGCATACATCCTTTCTGAAATCTGTATTTTGTCCTAAAAACAATAAGATCTTAATCCATACCAGAGTTCTTATATTATAATTTAATGACTGCTCACTCATAATCAGAATAAAATAATAGTGTTATCTCTTTAAAGCTAAAATGAAATCTTTGATTCTAAGTTAGAATAGTACTCATTATTAGAGTAAGATTTTCTACATTGTCTTTAACTCTATACCTTATAGACAAAAAAAAACTTGGTGATTAAAAACTCACTATAGAAACTTACTTTTTTAAACTTGATTTTATAACATGTATTAAGGAATTAACATAACAACATTAAATATACTTAGTGAACATGTTTTTTTAAAAATGGAATAGCTTCTTTGAGAGTGATTTTTAATGTGTATATAAAGAATTAGCTGCATATCCCCTGTTGAAAAATCAGAGTCATGTGTTATATTACCTGAAAGATTTGGAGGAAAATCATTTTTTGTTCAGTGATGAGCTGATTCCATTTAATGCTTGGTGTACTTATATACATATTTGAAAGCTGTTTTTAGATTATAAAAGGCTGCTAATTAAGTTACTGTGTTGGTGATTTTTAAATTTATTATGTGGTAGTAATAGGCTTGTTTTATAATCTCCTTGTAGCATAATTTCTACCTTCTAGGAATATAACCAGTTGTGCATTTTGACACAATCTTACTAGTTTCTAAGTTTCTGTAAATCTGTTACATTCTACGTAGCATCATATTTATAATACCCACAAAATACATGAATACTAAAAAATAGGTTTTTCTTATAAGAAAGTATATCAAGGAAATAAAAATTAGTGGTGGCTTTATAATAAAAACTAGTATTTATTGAGTACTTACTTACCCAATGCCAGATACTATACTAAATGCTTACCCTGGATTCTCATCCAGCCCTCACAACAATTGAGTAGAGTGCTGTAATTCCCACTTTAAAGAAACTTGCTGAGGGGCTGGGGATTTAGCTCAGAGGCAAAGCGCCTGCCTGGCAAGCGCAAGGTCGTGAGTTCGGTTCCTGGTACCAAAGAAAAACCAAAAAAAAGAAACTTGCTGAAAGTCACAGGGATAAAAAGTGATGGTAGCAGGGAATCAAATCAAGCATTCTGCCCTTGATGTTAGGGTAGAAATTAATTTTTCACAATAATCTTGTACAGTCTTATGCTCTGTTTTCTCCCTCTTCTCTTCCATAAAAGTATTATATATTTAGTATATGTAAATTAAAATAACTGGGAGGGTAAAAAATACTGACATGGTAACCACTACTAAATTTATTGTACAGTTTTTAAAAGCATACTTTTATAACTTCTTTTTTTGCCTTTAAGAAAGATGGAGATCTTATCCTATAGCATTTGTAAAAACTCTTCATTTTTTGGCGTAGTTATTTAAAATACCTTGTAAATAATATCTTTAATTGGCTAGGATCTCAAATTTAAGTAGAATTTCACAATTATATCACAGAATAGTTCTCATTTCGTTTTTTTGTTTAAATAGTCACCTCCCAAAAGCTGTGCATCTGTGTCAAAGCAGGAGTCAAGCAAAGGAAGTCATAGGACTGGAGGACAATGTCATCTTCCTGTGAAGTCCCATCACCATTGTTATAGTTGGTCTGATGAGTCATTATCTATGACACAATCAGGTAAGGCTAATAATGATTTTTCTTAGTACAGTATTTGAGTTGTTCTTTAATAAGCTTTGTTTAACCATAAGTAGAGTGTTACCCTTTGTTGCATTTGTAAATGCTTTCTTCTTGCCAAGATTAATCATATATATCTTTGTCAATAATTACAAAAAACCTGACCAACTGTTTTATTCTCATGTATTAATGGGCAATTTTTGCATAGCATTCTGTACTTAAGCTTGTAATGCCAGATAGCACAAATTATAACCACACTTTGCCCAGCAGATTTCCATTACTAAATCCTGGAAAGAAAGGTCTACATGTTCTTAACAATTGTAGTGCCAGGACTTAGCAGGCACTTTGGATTACACATGGTAGGTATGTATGAAATAGTTCTTGAATGAATTAATGGCAACCATGAAGAGAAATGAAAGGTGGTTGTACAGGAAGGCAAAAGTCTCAAAGGAGCAAATGTAAAGAAGTAGCAGACTACAATGGCAATGGGGTGCATCCTCTATTTTCATATAGCCTCTTCCCTACCATAAATCCTTTTAGATTATAAAAGAATGAGCAGCCTCTATTCTAAAAGGCTTCTATGTAGTATTAATCTTGTTCATAATTCTACATAAACCAAGCACTGTCTACATAAACCAAGCATTGTAGATATGATTCCCAAGGTCAACAAGTTCCTTGAAGAAACAGACTGGCAGAGTGGATTAAGAAACAAGATCAAACAATATGCTGCATACAAGAAACACATTTAATACAAAAAGATTCTTGTCTTCGTAGTGTAAGAACCTGAAAGTGTAAATAAAATCTGAAATGTACAATAGATATTGTGAAAGGGAAAGAGACTACTCAATAAGAAAGAGCAACTGGGATGAGGGAAAGGAGAAAAGGAGAAGGAAAGGAAAAAATGTATATATACACAAGATAGCTAAGATAATTGTACTACTAATTTCTGTTGGTTTATTGAAAGGAACAGTTAATGTTTAACTGATCAATCTTGCATACCTATATCTTGTAGTTTGAGCAACTACTTTTAAAATAACAATAAGTAATACAGCCATTGTTGATTTCCTATCATCTTGTTTTGAAATTCTATATCATTTTTATAACTTTGTGTTGTTTTGTCTTTGTTTTTGTCTTTTTCTCTTTAAAATAAAAAAATAAAGTTATATAGTGAGACCCTGTCTCAAAAAAAAGTTTTTTTTTTAAACTAGCAAATCACAACTGTACAGTAAGTACCTGACTTACATTTGAACATTCAAATTGTGAACTTTCACAGGTGTATTGTATGAGGTTCACAAGTGTACTGTATATGACGTACTTTGTCAGAATGAATTCAGCTTAAGAATGTTCTCCTGGAATGGAACTCATTTGTAAGTTGGGGACTTACTCTGTATACAGTTTCTAAAATAAAACAATTACCTGGCAGGTCAGAATTGAAACTAAGTTGTGAAAGTGCAGTAGTCTTAACATGCAAAATAGTACCTAAAGTTTTAGAAGCACATAAATGGTAATTGGGGGTCTGGGGATATAGCTCAGTGGCATAAGTGCCTGCTTGGCAAGTGCAAGGTCGTGAGTTCAATCCCTGGTACCGCAAAAAAAAATAAATAAATACAAATATAAATAAATAAATGTTAATTGATAAATACAGTTTAGAAGATCTAAAGTTACGGATTTGTACTTCATCATAGAAAGATCATTTTTAGCTTAGGGTTCTGTGAGTTTGACTTTTATATTTTATATATAAGTGAGATCACATGATGAGACACAATATCTGTGGCCTTCCACTTAAAGGAGGTTTCAGTCCATGATCTGCCAGCTGCAAAGAAACCAACTTGGTAGACGGGGATGACAGATTAAAAGCTGCTCACCTCATTGCAGCCAGGAAGCAGAGATTCAAGGAAGAGCCAGGGAGATGTACCCTTCTAGGCCACCAACCTCAGAGATCTGCTTGTTCCAACCAAGCCCCACCTCTCTAATCCACCAATGAATATTGTGTGCTCATGACCCAATCACCTCCCCAAACCCCTACTACAATTACATGAGGCTTTGTGGGGGGGCATCTAGATATAAACCATAATATGTGGGATTTGTCCTTTTATTGCCTGGCTTATTTCACTTGATATAGTGTCTTCTAGGTTTACTCATGTTACAAAGACAGAATTTTCTTCGTGGGAGGTATTCTGTTGTGTATACTGTGTATACGTCATTTTGGGTTGCTTCCCTATCTTTTTATGTTTTCTTTTTTGAGCGTTCATAATACTCCACATGTTTCACATACCTTCTCTTCACACCTGTTCTAGATATTGGTTTGGATCAAACATCTAAGTAATAGGTCCAGAGTTAAGAAATGGTCTTTGTCATTACTGCATTATGAGTGCTGATCAATAAATTGTGAGCTTTGTCCATGCTAAGGGCTCAATATACTGCCACTCCTGGCTTAAAGCATGTAATACTTTCCTAGTACACCTTAAGTCTATGTTACAGAAGTGACAGGAACTACGATTATTATTTCTAGCCCAGGCATTTGGATCACGTTATTTTAAAAAGACTGTAGTCCTTTTTCATTTAAATTAATTCCTTAACTAGTTCTTAAGCAGTTTAACCTGAAGTACCTAATGAAAACCTGATTTTGTAATGTAATGTTGTACAGCACATCTGAGTCTTCAGATTTATAATAGTATTTCGGTTGTTAGGCTATTACATGTCCCACTCAACATTACTGTGTATAAATGACATCATTTTGTGACTCCAGGAGGTTTTGTAAGGAGCAGTCACTTGTATGCTGTGTAATTTCCATGTGTAGTGAAATAAGCAGTGTCTTTAAATGATACCTGTTTGTTTGCATAGTATGTGCATAATAATAACATGCCTTTTTTTGATGTTTCCATGACTGGACATCTCATGTGCATATATGAACTATTGGGAAGAAAACAAGATTTAACCAGCTTCATTTCAGGAAATTTAAATATCTTAAGAGCTTTAAAAAAAAAGTTACAGCTGGGCATGGTGGCACACGCCTGTAATCCTAGCATTCTTAGAGGCTGAGGCAGGAGGATTGAAAGTTCAAGTCCAGCCTTGACTTATCTTAGTAAGACTCTTCCACACACACAAAAGGAGGGCATCAGGGTAGCTGAGGATGTAGCTTAATGTGAAGGCCCTGGGTTCAATCCCCAGTGGTGATGGTGGGGTTTTCAGCAAAGTATATTTCCTTATAATTTCTGTCTTTTATGTGGTTTAAGGAATGAGCTAATGATTTATAGTCAATTTGAAATGATAAAATTCTAGTTTGATTTTAATGGCACTTTAAGACATTAAACTATGCATTAATGATTAAGGGAAAGAACAGTTAAATATGATTATCTTGTCACCAGAAATAATTCCTTGCCAAATATATAAATTTCACTAATTAACAGTTTTCAACTTCAGCTACATATTTTACCAAGGCAGGGCATCTCCAGATTTATTTATGATTTTAAATAATATAATTAGAGAGTGAAAATAAATAGGAAAACCAAAGCAAAAGAAAAAGGGATTCTTGGAAAATCAAGGATGCATTGCACTAATAAATTTTTTTCAGCAGCTCAAATGTCTTAATGTGAAGTATTGGATTAACTATTCAAATGAAGTATTAACATTACAGTTTTTCATTAGTATTTATTAACTTTATTCTTCAGTTCAAATTAAATAACATACTTTGTATTTTTTTCAGAAACTACATCTGACCAGAGTGACATTGAAGGTAGGATAAGAGCTCTGAAGGATGAGCTGCGGAAAAGAAAATCAGTTGTGGATCAGTTGAAGAAGGAACAGAAAAAAAGACAAAAGGAAAGATTGAAAGCACAAGAAGCCAGTCTGATTAAACAGTTAGAGGTGAGACATAGGAAAAAGCGGGGGGATTGAATATCAAGATTAATGTATATTATTCGCCAACCTCCAACACCTGCCCCTTTTTTTTGATACCTGTAATTGAACTCAGGACCTTGTGCTTGCCAGGCAGGTGCTGTACTGATGAGCTACATCCCCAGCTCCCCTTTTTTTGCTATTAGGGATTGAATCCAGGGCCTTACACATACTAGGCAAGTACTCTATCACTGAGGTATATCCACAAAGTACTTTATTTTGAGAGCTAAGGTGGCTCAGGCTGGCCTTGAAATTACGATTCTCCTGCCTCAGCCTACTGAGTAGCTGGGATACAGGCATGTGCCACCATGTTGGACTGAAAATGTTTTTAATATTGTTAATAATGAATTAGGATTTTTTAATATTAGCATGGTGTCACATTTTATCCTCTCTTTTTTAAAAATTCTGAGGATACCTGAGCAACTCTTGCTTAAAACACTAAGCTAAATATTAAATTAAAATACTAGGTAATAAAATACACAGTTTAAGGCTTTTTTCTCCTCAAAAAGAAAGATTAGGCTTATAAAAGAAAGTTTAATATCCATGCTCTCTTAAATAACTATTAGGTAAATAATTCTAGCTACTGGAATTGTAACTGCCTTTCTTTTTCCTCAGCAGAGTGGGCTTCATGTCCCACAGATTATTTAGCACAACCCTTAGTACTACTTGAATGGTTTCTAAATGATAACTCTAAGCTTGACTTTTCTTCCGGGCTCTAGGAACCTTCCTGACTCTGTCTCAGCCTAGAAACCTGCCTTTGATGTCTTCCACATTCTGCTTCTTTCTATCCCTTTAGCACTAGTTCCCACTGATTCTATTATAAAAGTCCTTGCTTGTCCCTTTCCATTTCTACTGCCATCAAGCTAGTTGTGCCCCTTACAATCCCTTGTCTCTATTATTTGCATAGTCTCAGATGTCCCTGCTTCTGGCTTATGGTTACCCGGGTTCTGCCCGCCACCTCTAGGTCCTAAATCACCAGAGTTGTTATAGAATCAGTCAGAAGCACCTACTTTTCACAAAAATTCCTTCTTGTGTTATCACTAGAGGTCATCCAGCTTCTGCCTGAACTTCCAGTAATGGAAATTTCAAAATGCAGTTGGTTTCATTGTTAGACTGTAAATGCTGTAAATGTTAGAAAGTGGTTTTTATATTTAGCCGAAATTCCTGGCCTTGAGCGGGGGATATAGCTCAGCAGCACAAGTGCCTGCCTGGCAAGTGCAAGGTCCTGAGTTCGATTCCTGCTACCAGGAAAAAAAATATATATTCCTGGCCTTTAAATTTCTGTCTTTTGGTCTTTACTGTGTAACACAAGTTTCTCTGGCATTTATTAATTTAATCATCAAATTAATGTTTTTTTACATGCCACAAGCATACTTAATTACAGAAATTTTCATTTAAACCTCACAGGAACAAGGCATGGGTATTAACCCCATTTTATAGATAAGGAGACGGTTTCAATAAAATTAATAATTTTTCCAGAGATGCACAGCTTGTAAATGGTAAAGCTAAGATTTTAGTCTAGTTTTCATTCCAGATTCTGTGTCCTTATCATCATAGTGTCTTTCACATAGTAAATCAGCTTGTTAACAGATATAGAGTAAACATCTGCATAGGTATACAATACGGAAATAAAGCGGACATACCTTGCACAGATGTTAAAAGTAGGAAAAGTGATTAAAGTATAATGAGTATTAATTGGCTTAAATAAAAATAAAAGAAAATTCTGTATTTAAATTTTAAAATTATAGTATCTGATATAGAAATATACATAGCAGATCATGTGAAAAAGAAATCTGCTGGTCATGGTGGCCCATGCCTGTAATCCCAGCTATTTGGAAAGCTGAGGCTTTGTGTTCCAGGCCAGGGCAGCTTAACAATTCCGTCTCAGAAATTTTAAGAAGGTCTGAGGATGCAGCTCCGTGCTAGAGGGCTTACCTAGCGTGCACAGGGCCCTGAGTTCAATCCCCAGTGCTAGGGAAGTGAGTTTTATTTGATCATAGATTTAATAGTTGGATTGTACTCATATGAGTATAGCTTTCAGATCTGAGTAATCATAGTCTTTTTACATGCCTAGCTAAGTGGGAAATATTAAATTCCTGCTTCTTTTGCTGCTGCTACTGCTTCCTCTTCCTCCTCCTCGTTTCTTCTTCCTCTTCCTCCTCCCTTTCTTCCTTTCCTTTCTTTCCTCCTCCTCTTCCTTCTTTTTCTTCTTCCTGTTCCTCCACCTTTTGTTTCTTCTTCTTCATCATCGTCGTCTTCTTTTTCTTCTTTATTTTGTTCTTGTTTTTCCTCTTTTATGCTGCTAGGGATTGAATGTAGGAGGCATGGAGAGTGATTTTTAATCATGTTGTCTTTACTGGTTGAATATTTAAATTTTGCTATTTAAAACTTGTATTACTATTTTATAACAAGATAGTTTTTTTTTTAGATTCTGCATAGTAACTTCTTTGGTTTTTCTAAACTTAGTCATATGATGAATTCATTAAGAAAACTGAAGCTGAGCTTAGCCGAGATTTGGAAACATCACCAACAACCAAACCTCAGATTAAAACATTCTCCACAGCTTCTGAAAAACCCAAGATCAAGCCCCCTCCACTACACAGGTAGGTATTTTTGATAACTTATTTTTATTCTCTCTTGTTTGAGAAAGAAAAGATTTTTGGTAGACGTTTATCTTTTATTAAAGAAATTATAGAAATAAAGGTACTATTTTCTAGTTTTAGTTTCACCAAGATAAAAAATATTGTGTATAAAAGCCACAAATTTATAATATGGTGCAGATTTTTAAAATATGTGTTTAATCCTTCAGTCTAGGGGTACAAAAAAATAGTACTCTCCAACATTGCTAATGATAGCATCACAAGTTGGCATAGATACTTCAAAATACAATTTGGCAGTACTTTAGATTCCAAAACTATGTAACCTTTGACCATGGTAATCCCACTTTTGGAAAATTAGCTTAATAAAATGTGGAGTATCAAAAATATCTATTTGCATGGGTATGTTTATTGTAACAACCTTTATATTCATAAGGTGTTAGGAATACTCTTTATGTCCAAAACTGGGTGAGTAGCTCAGTAATTATGATTTTGCTCAGATGATAGAATATTATGTAGCCATTAAGCAAATACAGAAGATAGTAAGTAGCAGTATTAGACTATACAGTATGGTAAAATATAGGGTATATTAAATATCATTTTTAATCTATAGTCAGGCTATAATATTTAAAATAAATCTTTTGAACAATAAGTATTGGTTAGGTCAGTTAGTGTAATTGAGAAATGGGAACATTTCACAGAGAGGACCATTCATGAATGACCAAAGGCAGAAAATATATACATGTACCATAGGAACTGAACACAGTATGACATTGGTAGAGTTAGTAGAAAAGTAAGTAAAAACCTGAATTCTGCAGTCCTCTACTCAATTATTCTTCATTTGTGTTTTATCTTTTAGAACATGTAGAGCTCTCAAAGATTGTTTTCGAAAGTATTGGGAGATGTTTTTGTTTGTTACAAAAGTAATACAGGCTCATTATAATTAAATATATTTGAGCTTGTATCCTGTCTGCAGTACCAGCTAGCCAAATAACTTCGGGCAATCTATTTAACCTCTCTGCTTCAGTTTTTAAATAGGGATTTATATGTCTCTATTAAACAGATAATAATACATGATTAATATACTCTAAAAGTTAAAAGATATGTAATAGGCCCTGTAACACAGTAAGCATTGTAAACTGCTACTATTGTTATTATTAGACTAGCTGGAGAAGCAATAAAAAGTTTAAATTATACATATATAATACTCAATCCAAAATGGCAAATATGAACAGACAGACATAAAATTCCTCTCAAGATTCTTCTGCTTAGATTTTTATTTGTATTTTTGTTGCCTATGCATTTTCTCATTATAAACTATAAGTTGTATTTTAATTTCTGTTGAATGGCTTTATAATTTTCCTTATCAAACAACTAAAAATTTTTAACCAGGGGCTGGGGTTGTAGCTCTGGAGCAGAGCATGTGCTTAGCATGTGTGAGAGCCTGGGTTCAGTCCCCAGCATGGGAAGGGGATGGGAAAAGAGCAGGAGCAGGGGAGAGAAGAGAGAAGAAAAAGAAAGATAGATACATTGAATGAGTGAGTGAGTGAGTGAGTGGGTGGGTGGGTGAGTGAGTGGGTGATTGACTGATTTTAACCGGAGAGTGATAGTTTGTGTTTACAGATCTTTCTGACCACAATATGGAGGAAAGATTGAAAAAAAAAAAAAAGGTAGTCTAAACCAGACCTCAAATGAGGAGCAGGAAATAAGAATAGAAAATAGGAGATACATTTTAAGAATATTTAAGAAGTAGATTTGACTAGTTAAAATGCTCAATGGGGAAGAAAAATAGATGACTCCCAGGTTTCTCCTGGGAATTGATGGGGTCAGGATTCTACTAAATTAAATAGGTAAGTGGGTCGTTTTGTGAGAAGCCTATAACTTATAATTTTGAGGTACCATAGTTCATATAAGTTGTCCTGTAGAGTTGTCAGAGGTCCTTAGAGATGACCAATGTGTAGATAGTTGTTGAAGCCAGGAAAATATAATTCAAAGAGAAAAAACGGGAGCTGAGTACTAAATATGATAAAACAGCAACCTTTGTGGGCATTGTAAAGAGGTAGGAAGTGGAAGCCAAATATGGCTTAGCAAATAAAGAAGAGCTAAGAAAATGAAGATAGCAAATATCACCCTCCCTGCTTCATATAAAGAGTAAGAAAAGACAATAGAAATGAGGAATTGAGGGGAAACTTTTGGGGGAGGGTATTTATGAAGCATGAGGCATACTTACGAGCTGAGAGGAAGGGATATCTGGATGGAAGGCTAACGGTTGTAATAAAGACAATAGATAATTGAGGAGTACCATCTCTGAGGCTGTGAGCAATTAGTTTTGAGCAAATGAGAGACACATCTTTTTCTTCTTGCAGGAAGTAGGAAAAGCAGTTGGGATGGCTGTAAATGTAGGTAAATTTATAGTTAGAAAAAGAGGCAAAACTGGGCATGGTGGCATACACTTACAATCTCTGCACTCAGAGGGCTGAGCCAGGAGGACTATTGCCAGTTCAAGGCCAGCCTGGGCTACATAGCGAGTTCAAGGCCAGTCTTCAGTACATAGTGAAACCTGTCTCAAAAAAAAAAAAGTAAGAAAGAAAAAGAGGCAAGATTATCTAGAGAGAGTGATGGGGACCAGAAATAGGCTTGATGAAAGTAGCAGAAGAGAAAAGGATTGTTTAAGAATCCTTTCTTTGTTGCCAGTTATTATAGTATTGGCAATATATTTATTTCTGCTTATCAATTTTTCTACTTCAGATCTGAAACAGCAAAAAACTGGAAATCACTAACAGAGTCAGAACGTTCCAGAGGCTCTTTGGAGTCTATTGCTGAGCATGTTGGTATGTAACTAGAGGAAATAAGTTGTATCCATGTTATCTAAGGATTTGTGCTGTTATTTTATTATGTTATTTTTATTTATATTATGTACTTTTTTCAATTTAAAAGAAAAAAATATATTGAAAATAAAATATTATTCAATGAGGAAATAGAACCAACATACAAAAAGAGCCTACCTAGCAACAGCAACAAAATAGAGATTTGAATTCAAAGCTTAATTTATCAGCTCATTATATCATTCTTTGTTTTTATTTTGTAAATTTAGCTCCTCAAATGCTATATTTGCAGAAATAGTTTGTCTTTTTTTTTTTAATGTTTGAGAGCTTAGTTGTAATCTGCAAGAAAATTCATTCTTTTAGAAATATAAATAGGGTGGTATATGCCTTTAAGCCCATCCTTTAAGCCTAGCACTCAGGAGGCTGAGGCAGGAGGGTTGCTGGGAGTTCAAGGCCAGCCTGAACTGCACAGTGGAACCCTGTCTGAAAAAGAAAAAAACAAATATAAATAGATATATTTATCCTTTCCTCCGTGGTTTCCTATTTGAAGGTTGTATGTAATATCCATCATACAGTATTGTTTTTTCATAATTTGAAAATAATCGTACAAAGCTCCATAAATTTAGCTCCATTTTTCTTCACTTCGTAAGTTAAGACAACACTTAAGTTTTTTGCTTTTTTTTTTTGGTTCTTTCCGGTACCGGGAATTGAACTCATGACCTTGTGCTTGCCAGGCAGGTGCTGTGCCGCTGAGCTAAATCCCCAGCCCCAAGACACTTAAGAAATTATTTCAAGCTGAGAGTGATGGTGGACACCTATAATCCTACCAGTAGCACTCAGGCTGAGGCAGGAGAATCACCATGAGTTCAAGGCCAGCCTGGACTATATAGTGAGACCTTGTCTCAAAAAAACTATGAAGGGGCTGGCAATTTAGCTCAGCGGCACAGCACCTGCCTGGCAAGTGCGAGGTCATGAGTTCGATTCCCAGTACCAGAAAAAAACAAACAAACAAACAAAAAAATCTTGAAAAAGAAAATTGTGAAAAAGAGGGCTGGGATATAGGTCAGTGGCAAAACACTGTACAAGGCCCTTAGTTCAAATTCTCACTACTACAGAGAGAGAAAGGGGAAGGAGAGAAAGATTGTTCCAAACTTTAAACTTTTTAAATGTTCTGTTATTGATTGGTACAGTATATTCTCTTAAATAAAAAACTTACATGGTAACCAAAATAGGTCATATTTATTGACTAGAGTTTTTCTTGACTGGGATTTGGCTTTATTTACAGTTGAGTCCTAGAAATTGAAAGATTACGGTTAAGTAATTTTGATGTGGTGATTTTTTTTTCTTTAAGATGCTTCAATGTCAGGTTCTGAAAGATCAGCAAGGTCTTTGTCTGCATATGCAAAGAAAGTGATTGAATTGGACATTCAGACTGAAGAGTATTTGCAGACTCCTTCTCCAATCCTCAGATCATCAAGGAAAGCCAGAGCAGAATCTGGAGATTCTCTAGAAAATGTTCTTTCCTTACCTCTTCTCAAGGAATTAAATACCCCTAATAGAATGTTTGATGTGTCAGAAGCCAATGTTGAAGAGTCCAGTAAAAAATCAGAAACACAAAAAGTAGAATATACAAAATTGGAAGAGGGTGAGATTGAAGATGCCTGTTCTAAACCACCGGATACCTTAATGAAACAGGGAGACTCATCTGAAATTCTTTTAAAGAATAATCTTCCTTCGGATTCTGTAAATGTTCAGACAGATTTAATTAGATTGGCCATTGAAAGTCTTCATAAAAAAGAGGAAATATTGAAAGAAAGAGAGTCAGATCAAGATAGAGACCATACTGCAGACATCGAGCCAGGAAAAGATATTCATGAACAAAAGAACAGAAAGGAAAGGGACTCATCTTTGTCAGAACATCCTTTTGCACCTAAAGAATTATACTCTGAAGATTTTGAAGTGTCTTCTTTCAAGAAAGAAATTTCAGCTGAATTGTGTAAAGATCACTCTGAGGTGTCATCTTCGTTGTCACTCAAGAAAAAGTCTCACTCTTACAGAGATAAGTCACAGCAAACAAGGAACTCTAGAAGCAGAGCCACCAGCTTTGGTAGTGATGATGAAATCATTGAGTGCCTAAGTGAGAAAAGCCTTTCTGTTCATAGCAGTGTCCATTCAGAAAGGCTGTTAGAACTCAAGTCCCCTACTGAGCTGATGAAAAGTAAGGAGCGTAGTGATGTAGAGCCTGAACACAGAGTTTCTGTTGCAGATGAGTTACTTGATTTCCACATTGGTGATAGGGTATTGATAGGCAATGTTCAGCCAGGAACTCTTCGATTCAAAGGTGAAACTAGTTTTGCTAAAGGATTTTGGGCTGGAGTGGAGTTAGATAAACCTGAAGGAAATAACAATGGAACATACGATGGCATTGTATATTTTGTGTGCAGAGATAAGCATGGTATTTTTGCTCCTCCTCAAAAAATATCTCACATTCTAGAAAACTTTAGTGACTATATAGACATAAATGAAGATGACTGTTATTCAGATGAACAATATCAACACTATAAGCAAGAACAAAAAGATACAGAGGGTCTAAAAGACAAAGAAAACGATGTAGTTGAATATTTTTATGAGAAATCTCTACCTAGTACACACAACATAGAAACCTCAGTGGATAAAGACAAAAGCCTTAAAATAGAAACAGACGACATGTGGGATGTTCCTGGGGTACACAAAGCTCATGTTCACCAGCAGTCGTCAGTGGGTTCACTGATATCTTTAAAGGATAACAAAGACTTTATTGGTGCCACAGAAAAGGTTTCCATTGCTGCAGAAGATGACACGTTAGATAATACCTTTTCTGAAGAATTGCAGAAGCAACAACCATTTACAGAAAAGGAAAAGAATATATGTTCTGAAGTTTCAGAAAAGCTTTCTACTCCACTTCTAGACCTTTTAACAAGAGAAAAAAACCAGTTAGAAGCCCAGCTAAAGTCATCACTCAATGAAGAAAAAAAGTCCGAGCAGCAACTGGAAACAGTCAGCTTACTGGCAGACAGTTTACTAAAAGTTGTTGTGAAGGACACAGTCAGTCAACTACAGCAAATCAAGAGAGCTAAGAATGAGAAAATTCAGCTTAGTAATCAGGAATTCCTTGATGATGACCAAAAGGAAGTACCATCCCAAGATGCATCCCAAAATCTTGAGGAACAGTTCATCAGTGTTCCAGACTGCTACTTACGGTCTGAATTAGAAGATGAAAAAGAAGAGATTTCCTCTCCAGATATGTGTCCCAGACCAGTAAGTATTTCATCTAAAAAGAGTGTTAATTTACCTTGTCTGTGTAGTGCATTTTAATTCTGTGGCATGTGATAGGTTTTCATCTTGACATGCTGTTCATTAGATAAAAGATCATTATGCTAGTTTTCAAGGCCCTGAAGCTGTTTTTCTGTCTGAAATTTGTCCTCTGTTACGTCATGAGTAGTCACTATAGGGTTGTCATAAATGCTGGCAGGTTTATGGGAACTGAAACATTCATTTAAACTGCTGGTTTGACAGCCCCTGTATAGTGTCCACAGATTAGATCCCCTTCCAGATTCACTAAAAAAATGTATATGCTATAGATAAATTTTCCAGTGGTTCCCAACCCAGTTCTTTTTAATTGTTCATGTATCAGCTCAGCAGAGATACATCTACCCTGCCGAGATTACCAATTATGATGTTGATTCTGATAAAACTGAAATATAGCCACTGTGACATCTGTGCAGATCATCAACTTGTTTAGGTTATCCTTGGATAGTTGAACAAAAGTAATGATTTAGAGTAACTTGAAGCAGATAATCACCAGAGGTGAGAAATTTCATACCCCATTTCCATATCCCAGTCCTTCAGAAATATACTGATGGTACAAAAAAGGGAAAACTTATCAAGAAACATTTATTATAAATATTGATTGCTAAGGCTTATATAAGCAGAATACTGGGAGCAGGATGTTTTCCTTGTTCATTAGGGAGCTGCCACATTGTTTTTTTCTTATTTGTAGAGAATTGTTAAACATATAAATAACACAGTATACTTTGTTTAAAAAAAAAAAAATTAAGTAAAATGAGTCATTAAATGACCCATTATTTGGGTGTTTCTGTTTCTATAGGAAAGCCCAGTGTTTGGTGCCAGTGGACAGGAAGAGCTTGCTAAGAGACTTGCTGAACTTGAAATCAGCCGGGAGTTCCTGAGCACCTTAGGAGATGATCAAGATTGGTTTGATGAAGACTTTGGTTTGAGTTCCTCTCACAAGGTCCAAAAAAGTAAGGCAGAAGAAACAGTTGTACCTCTAATGGCAGAACCTAAAAGAGCACCTCAAAAACCATGTGAAACATTATTGGCAGTCCCACATACTGCAGAAGAAGTAGAAATTCTTGTACATAATGCAGCAGAAGAACTTTGGAAATGGAAAGAATTAGGCCATGACCTTCATAGCATCAGTATTCCTACCAAACTGCTTGGCTGCACCAGTAAGGGCTTAGATATAGAAAGCACTAGTAAAAGAGTCTACAAACAGGTATGTAACGTGAAAGGATGCTTTTAATTTTTACACTTCTCTCCACTTCTGGAATTTGACTTCTTAGCTATTTTGTTTTATTTTTCTCTGTCAAGGTGGTTTTTGATTTAACAAAAGAAATTTTTGAGGAAATATTTGCTGAGGATCCCAACTTGAATCAACCTGTCTGGATGAAGCCATGTCGAATCAACTCTAGTTATTTCCGACGAGTGAAAAATCCAAATAACCTCAATGAAATCAAGGTAAGCTGAAAACTATAAGTACCTCCTTTATTGATTGTAGTTGATCATTTACATAGACCTATAAATGTTGTAAAAATGGGTAATCTTCCGTTTTCATGGACCGTCCATAGTGAGTATTTAGTAAATATTTGTGAAGGCATTGATTTCATGAGCAACAAAGGGATGAGGGTAAAAGGAAACTGAAGTAGCAAGTTTGTGTAAACTGCAAAGTCATTTCATACATACACATAGTTCATGATGTCTAAGGGAAAATTAGAAAATACCCAGGGATATAAATCATTTGCAACTCATAAAAGTTTTAGGTAAGATTTTGGAATTTAGAGAAAGGTAAAATATTCTAGAATTATGCATGAAAATGTTCCATATTTGTATCTATATATCTTTTTAACATGCCAACCCTGTACACTTTTGGTTTGGGAGGTTTCAAATTGGCAATGTGGTTTTGAAATATATAAGTAAGACTGTAACATAATGTATAAAATATTATGTTATCTAAGAGACCTTTGAAAAGATTAGTTTCCCAGAAGCTACAAAGAACTGCCATATTGGCAGCATATATCCTTATTTCAATGAGGGTTTTATTTCAAGAGCAGCGTTAAACTTCAATGTACATGTCCATCACCATGAGCTGTATCCTATAGTCCAAGTAATAAGGCTTTAGAGTTGTGTTTTCCAAACCTACTTGATCAAGGAAAACCTTTAAAAATATTTTATATTTTATACTAAAAACACCACTAGATAGATATTTATGAGATCTAATGTGTGCATACCTTGGAGATTAGAAAACTGTGATGCACGGACAAGATTCAGGCTCCCATCTTTTTAGGAATAAAGTTTTATTGGATCACAGCTATACTCACTTCATTACATATTGTTTATGGTTGCTTTCTTGCCACAAAAGCCTGAAATAGTTATGATCTGATCCTTTACAGAAAAACTTTGCCAGTCCCTGGCTGAGATTAAAGTAGGTAGTTTTTTCAGAACACGCTTTCATATTCCATTTCTTCCACACTTGGTAAACCCTTGAATGAATTTGTGTGTGTATAGGCAGGGAATAATGGACTTTAAGGGCACATAAATAATCTGAGGATCGTCTCAAATGATTCTGGTTTATAAATGTATTCCTTCCCTCATTGAGAACAGTATTTTTTAATAGAAACATCTTCAAAGATAACAAAACAAATTATTTTATTAATAACACAAAAATGAGTTGAACTTAAATAATGTATGAGCAGTCATCAAACTGCATGCATACAGTAGATGCTGTCCACTAATTTTCATATTGAAATAATATTTTGTAAAGTATTTAAAAGTGATGATTTAGATATTAACAGAAAAGTTATCATGCTTCTCGTACTGAAGTGTTAATTAATATTTTTAATAAAACATATGCAAATCTTAGAGCTTCAAAATAAACTGTCCTAAACAAAAGCTTATGCTTTTATCATGAAATTGCTCCCGAATGTTTGAAATGTTTTCAGTTCAAAGATTTATATTATCCTTTCTGTAGTAATTTTGCCAGTAATTTTTCCACCCTGACGATAGCTAAGGGTAGCTTGCAGGTAAAGGGAACTCTGAAGTGATTTTTTTTTTTTTTTTGCAGACACATGAGTAGGTTTTAATTTTATTAGTTTTATAATGTATATAAACTTCCTTTTTTAGAATTTTCATTTTTATTAGTAAATGTTTGCAGTAAACAATAATTATATAACACCTCTTAATTCTTTTTACTTCCCCTGTCCTCCTCCCCTCCTCCATTTCTTGGTCCCCTTCCCATCTGCAAGTCTATCTCCATTCCTTCTATTATCTATCTTTTATATTGCTCTTTAATTTATACTTTGGCTTTTTCATACAGGAGAAGCTTATATGATGTTTAAGCTTATGTGTCTGATGAATTTCACTGAACATTATGTTCTCAAGTTACATTATTTTCCTAAAAATAACTCAGTTTCTCCTTCTTTATAGCAGAATCATACTCCACTGTGTATAACTAACCCATTTTCTTTATCCTTTCATCTGTTGATATACCTATAGGTCACTTCCAAGATTTAGCTATTATGAATTATGCTGCCATAAACATGGGCATGCGTGTATCACTGTAAAATGATAATGTAACTTTTTCAGGAAGAATCTAGAAGAGGAATTAATTGCTTAATCAAATGGAACTTCTGTTTTTAGTTTTTGCAGAAATCTTCATACTAATGTCTATACTAGTTGTACTAGTTTAAAGTCCCCACTGTCTTATCAACACTTTAATTATTTGATTTTTTTGATGGTATTCATTTTTTCTGGAACAAGATGGAATCTCAGTGTTTTTTAAATTTGCATTTCTATAATAGCTAGATATGTTGAACCTTTTTTTCCATGTATTTATTAGCCATTTGTACTTCCTGTGAGAAATATGTTCTTTTCACTTTCTGACTGGGTCTTTTGAGGAGTCTATTTTTTTTTTTTTAATTTCTTTTATATTGTAGATGTGTATCCAAGGAATACTAAGCAAACATTTTCTCCCATTCTATAGGTTGTGTCTTCACTCTGTTGGTTCTGTTCTTTACTACACAGAAGATTTTAAATTTGATATCCTATTTGTTGATTCTTTGGTATTGTTTCTTACACAGTTGGGATTCTATTCAAAAGTCCTTGCCTATGCCTATATCTTTTAATATGTTTTTACCTATTTTATCTTCCAGCAGATTATATCTTTTAACATTTAGATTTTTGATCCATTTTGATTTGAGTTTAGTATATACTGAGAAAGATGGGTTGAGATTCAATCTTCTACTTCTGGTTAGCCAGTTTTCCTAGCACCATTTGCTAAAGAGGCTATCTTTCCTCCAGTGTATGTTTTTGACCCCGTTGTCAAAGATCACATGGTTGAATGTGCCTGAGGTTGTTTCTTCATCCTCTGGTCCAGTGTTGGTGAGCCATTTAGAGCCTGCTACAACACATTTGCCATATGTTTGCCATCATTGTTCCAATCTGTTTCACTGATCCACATGTCTGTTTTTTTGTGCCAACACCATGCTATTTTTATCATGTAGCTTTTTAATATAACTTGAAATACAGGATTGTGATACCTCCTGCTTTGTTCTTATTGCCCAGGATTGCTTTCACTGTTCTGGATCTTTTCTGGTACCAGTATGAGTTTTATGAATGTTTTCTCTAGTTCTGTGAGAAATGTTGTTGATATTTTGATAAAGATTGTGTTAAATTTATATTTCAGTTTTAGAAGTATGGCCATTTGGGGGCTGGGGATTTAGCTCAGCGGCACAGCGCCTGCCTGGCAAGCGCAAGGTCATGAGTTTGATTCCTGGTATCAGAAAAAAACCGAACCCCCCCCCCCAAAAAAAAGAAGCATGGCCACTTGATAATATAGTTTTCATTATAGAGAGCTTACACTTCCTTTATGAGATAAATTTGTAAATACTTATTTTTTTCTTGAAGCTATTGTGAATGGTATTTTTAGTTTCTTTCTCAGTGAGTTCATTATCGGTGTGCAGGATGCTGTAGATTTTGTGTCCTGCTACATTGCTGAATTTGATTAATTCTAGGGTCTTTCGGTGGAAATTTTTGGGTTTTCTCAGATCATGTCATCTGAAAATAAGTATAGTTTGATTTCTTCCTTTCCTACATATATCCATTTTCTTTCTTTTTCTTGCCTGATTGCTCTGGCTAATGTTTCAAGTACTATACCAAATAGGACTAGTGATAGTGGACATTCTTGTCCTGTTCTTGCTTTTAGAGGGAAAACTTTCAGCTTTTCCCCATTTAATATAATGTTGGCTTGGTTTGTCATAAATGGCTTTTATCAGATCAGATAAGGTTCTTCTATACCTATTTTTTCAGGGTGTTTATCATGAATGGATTTACATTTTGTCAAAGGCTTTCTCTGAATCTTTTGAGATGGTCAGGTGATTTTTCTCCTTCCTTCTATTTATATGATGTATTACATTTACTGATTAACATATGTTGAACCATCTTTGCATTCCCTAGAATGAATCCTACTTGGTCATGATGTATGATCTTTTTAATGATTTGTTGCTTTCTATTTGCAAGTATCTTGTCCATCTATGTTCTTTAGAGATTGGCCTGTAGTTTTGTTTTTTAGTTGAGTCCTCATCTCATTTTAGAATGAAGATAATACTAGCTTCCAGGAATGAGTTTGTTGGTACTTCTCTCTTAATTTTATTGAAGTGTTTGAGGAGTGTCGGTGTTTGATCATCCTTGGAGTTCTTGTGCAATTCGGTGGTGAATCCATCAGGTCCTGGGCTTTTTTTTGTTTGAAGGTTTTTATTAGTACTGCCTCAATTATTTAGAACCTCTATATCTTTTTGGTTCAGTTTTGATAATTCATATTTCTCTATGAATCTGTTTCTTCTGTATTCTCCAATTTATTGGAGTACATGTTTTTAAAGTACTTAAGTACTAATAATCTTATGGATTATGATGATGTCCATTTTGATTATGCCTTTTTCATTTTGAATTGGATTGATATGGGTCTTTTATTTCTTTGTCTTTTTGTAAATATTGGCTAAGAGCTTAAGGGTTTATCTATTTTGTTTATTTTTTCAGAAATCAGCTCTTCAATTCATTAATTATATTGTGTATTAGTCTCAATTTCATTAATTTCTGCTCTGATTTTTTTTTAAATTTCCTTCTTTGTACTAGCTTTAGATTTGGATTGTTCTTGTTTTTCTAGGACCTTGGAGTGCATCATTAGTTTATTTCTTTGGACTCTATTTTTCTAATGTGGGTATTCACAACTGGAAACTTCTCTGAGAACTGCTTTCATTGTGTCCCATAGGTTCTGGTATATTTTACTGTCATTATTGTTTGATTATAGAAACTAATTTCTTCCTTGATTTCTTGTGACCCATTGATTATTCAGGGGTGTATTGCTAACCAGGCATGGTACCACATGCCTGTAATTGCAGCACCTGGAAGGTTGAGGCGGAAAGATCACTGTGAATTCAAGGCCAGCCTGAACTACGTAGTGAGAC